CAGATACTTTGGAGTTACTAGCGCATCGTAAAACCTCGTTGTCATCGGCGGCTTCCTGAACAAGGTTGCGGCATGAAAGTAATATATTATATTGCGCCTACATTGCACTGTTTGCAACAGCAGACTGATATTTCATTATCGACAAGCAAACTCTACCTGCAAAAATTAAATGTAATACGAAGAGAATGCCCATAGTTTTAGTAATCAGTAAAGGCCCGTTCACACTCTTGCAACCGAGTACGACCGAGAAAGACCAGACCGGTTTTTAAGCCTTTTGCGACTTCTTAAGACCGGATGCGATGCAGCGGAGCTGGTCCTAAGAGATCGCAAGAGGCTTAAAAACCGGTTTGGTCTTTCTCGGTCGTACTCGGTCGCAAGAGTGTGAACGGGCCTTAATTTGTAATGTGATATAATTAAATTTTAGTGATTTTTAAGAAAGGAATCGGTAATGTAAAACAGTTAGTTTTGGAAAATGCTTTTGCCATCTCTCGCCTAGAAATCTCAAGAGGGCGACTGTACTAAAGTGATTAACCATTTCGAGAAGAGATAATGAGTTGAGAAAAATTAACGCAATATTGCGTTTGACGGGTGAACTTGTACTTTAAACTTTCGTTTACGGAAAGGTGGAGTTCTAGTCACCGGTGTGGCCACGTGCAATATGACGTCTAAACGGGGCACTGGTCACTAGTAGGATCTCAAAACGCAATATAAAAAGGCAAGGAACCGAAAAAAAAAAAGAAAAAAAAAAGGCTCTGCTTCGTATTATGGATTTTTGCAGATCTCAATATTTGGAGTTTCGGTCAAATTTCAAAACAAAAACAACGGTCTGACAGCCCCCAGCACTGTTTATTTCAACGTGTGTCCCATTTAGGCAACACCAGGTGGGTTGGGGTAAAAGCACCGGACATGTTAGAGTACGCACGCTGGCATGAATTCCCGTCCCGTAAACACTTTTTGTAAGGCTCGCCACTTCCTCTTCAAGTACCCAGGGTCACAATACACTCTGTAGTACCGTATTTTTCGGTCTATATAAGTTTAAAAGTTGGAAATTCACCCGATGCGGACTATCTACAGGTGCGGACAATACAATGATGTAATTTTTCTAGATCCTTCACTATGACAATCGTGAAGGATTTTATGAGTAACGGACTATACTAATGTTGATTTACGTACGATAAAGCTTCATCGTGAGCTAATACAGTAGGCGTTTGTCAAGGTCTGCTGAGTATGATACTTTTTACGTTCGGACTAGGTGCTAAGTGCGGGCTTTGCACTGGGTGCCGTTTGTGTAGCGGGTGCGGACTATCTAAGCAAGCACTTTTATTTTTGACGCAGAATATTTCCGGGTCCGGGCTATAGTCCGGAAAATGCGGTAGTTCCTTCGAACTCTAGGGTTCTTGGACGATGGCCCTTAGCCTATGCCCATCCTCACATGCATGGACGGCAGAAGCAGTCAAATGCTCGGAGTAGCCAAGCATGCTTATCGCAAAACAAAATAAAAATTCAGAGACAAAACGGAGAGGCTAGGCTCTGAAATGCTGCAGAAAGGAGAGTTTGGTTTCGGGCGCTTCTCTGGTATCGCCGAAGGAAAGGGGTCGCTGTGCCTCCCGCCGCAAATCGCCCATTATGCGCTTAGCTTGGCTTATCTGGCCCCGAGATGCAGCAACAAAAGGAGTCTCCCCGCCGTCAAGTCAACTGTGGGAGAGGAGGAAATGGGAAGTGTGGCGAGGGGAACTTTTTTTCTGGTTGAAAAATATTCTGCAGGTTGGTCTTTGAGCGCCGCGTGGTGGGAAGTTTTGAAACTAGCCCGAATGTCTCGGAATCTTGGCCTTGCCCCTCCCCCCCCCCCCTCCCCCACAGACCCACACAAATATATTTTTAAATTAATGGTTTAATCAGCTCGTAGAGTAAATGGTCCAGGGAAAATGCCACCACACATATCTTTCAAATTTCGGCCAGGACCAGGTCATTGTACTATCAGGTCAAGACAAAAGTCACTGTTAATGTTTCCGGTTTGGGTCATACTATTTGTGCCTGAGAGGAAGGAGAGGTTGTGTTTTTGTAACCGTGAAAGCTATGGACCATAGAAATTACATAAAGTCGGGAAGAGGACAGTTGCAACTTCTCTATTTCATCATTTTCCACACTATCTCCTGCGGCCGCTCGGTAGTTTGATGGAATAGCATGGAATGAACACAGGCTTCCCAGCGACTACCTCCAGTAGGTTATTGATTTGAAGGCATCGACATTTATCGAAATAACACTTGTGTGCCACTCTTGTTCTAGAACAAATTTGTATTGCCAGTAGTAATGGCCCCAACGCCAAATCCAACTGAAGAAAATATTAATTTTTACAATCGCGTATTTTTTTTTTGTCCAGCATACGTTTACAGTTGGATATTATTTGTTTATTTTTAATAAGAAACACTACGAAATTGAGCTCCGAATTTCGGAGAATTCGGAATGAAACAAAAATAAACTCCGATAAACTCCGAATTTTCGGCAAAAAATAAACTCAGAAAGACACCCTCTGAACTTGATGAAAACTAAACTCCGAAAACACAGAACCCTACTCATTACTGACCATATCACCACTTCCTTTCGCAGTTTTCAGCTTGTCTGCGAGATCGGTTCAACTTTCAACAAATGCTCCGGGGACGCAGGGGTCTTCAGGACGAAATCTGGGTTTTTCCCCTGATAGGGATTTGTGCCGAATTCTTTGTTAAAAGAAGAGAGCTTAATCGTGAAATCAATCAACGGAAATCAAGAGCGTCCGTAAATGCCGCGCATTGTTTAACACCCCTAGTTTCCGTCTACTAGAGGAGGGCATAAATACGAGTGTTTTATTGTCATTTCTGCCATCGGCGCGAATTTATCACCTCTCGCAATCCTGAAAATGGGGGAAAACGCACCGAGTACAATGCTTGCTAATTTTTCCATTTTGATATTTGCCTCTCCGACCGAAGTGGTACTGAAGCTCATGCTCGTCCTGTGTACAAATACGAGAACACGACGATAATGTAGATCACGATAAGGCCCCAGAGCGTCTTACAGAACAGGTCGCGTCGGCTGCCAAAGATGGCAACAAATAAGAAGACCAGTACCTGGTACTCAATAGATATTTTACACAAACGCTTTTAATTATTGCATTTTCGTTAGTATACTGGTTTTCGTCAATAAACGTAATATCACTGAGAAGTTTATCAGTCTACAAATATTCACCGCAATAAACCGAAAACTTTTGTTTGGAATAAAAACCGAAAAAAGTGCGTGGAATTTCAAATAATACAAACCGAAAACGCCGAACCCTAGCTATATTGTCAATGTCATGTTTTGACGCAGCACTGTTTTGTTGCTGTGCTGTTTTGACGCTGTTCTGTTTTGTCGCGTGCTATTTTGACGCGTGCTGTTTTGACGCCGTGCTGTTTTGGCACGTGCTCTTCTGTCGCTGTGCCGTTTTGACGCTGTGCTGTTTTGTCGCGTGCTATTTTGACGCGTGCTGTTTTGTCGCCGTGCTGTTTTGACGCTGTGCTGTTTTGACGCGTGCTGTTTTCACCGTGCTGTTTTGTCGCGTGCTGTTATGTCGTGTGCTGTTCTGTCATGGTGCCGTTTTGAAGATACGGATTTTCTCGGTGACCACCTAAGCAATAAATAATATTTCCAGGATGTTGATTTATTTTCAGTAATGTCATACCTCTGAGAGAATTTTGAACGGCTCAGGGGATGAATTTCTCAGTAAAAAGTAAACACTCATGCCGTAATCATTTGAAAGCCAACAAATCAAGCCGCTCCACTGCGGTTCCAAGCCATGTGTTTGCTTCACCGCACGACACGTCGTAGTCAGTTTTTCTATCGCAGTTTTTATTTTATTTTGGTACTGTTCGCGTGCGGCTGCAATTGTCGTCTTGAATTGATCTTTGTAGAGGGGTTATTCACTCAAGCGGAAAGGATGCCTCACGTGGAGAGAAATCGCTTTCCGATCAACCTGAATGCAGTCAAAGGCGCGACTTGCGGCGGTTGTTAAGTGTATGGAGCTACGCCATGGCGAGCTCAAAAAGTTCTAGCGCTCATCCCAGCACGCCACTTGGAGGACAGTTTCTCCAGGAACCGTAGTATATTTAAACAGCAAAATAACATATAGTTGCTTTGTTTTTTGTCGATTTTACCTACCATACTTCCTTTACGCTAAAAGTCCAAACTGTAAATATACGTACTTTCCGTCATATTTCCATACTGCTTAGTCCATCCTGTTGCCTCCATCCCAGAGCGCAATCGCTCTCGAGCTGGAGACAACAGGACATCGCAGAGCACAGTCAAAATGGCTACAGTACGATAGGAGTTTCCGCTCAGACCAGCGTTCCAACATGAGTACCCCCCTCCAATCACGGCCCGACCAGCAACATCAATGCCCGACGGTTTCCGTCATCTCATCTTGTTACACCAACTGATATGCGAACACACGGTCACATCGGCGATAATTCCAGTCATTCACAACGCACAACACTGCCACTGCTATGTTGCTGCTATGTTGGTGACACGCAGAAATGCAGAACCACGTTGATTGCTGGCGGAAAACAGAACCCAACTCAGCACAGAAGGCACCCGGCAGCAAAACCTGCCTGTCCACACGGTCCCACAAGTATCCGCGCCGAGAGGCATTGTGGAATTTCTTAGGAAAGGTCTATTTATATTCCATATTCACTCAATATTGCGTTTAAAACTCAGTTTGATTTTTTTTACCATGTTACCAATATAAACTTTTTTCCCAAAACTTGTTTTATAATTTAAAAGAAAATAAGTTGGTTGGAATAGACCCAGACCTTACTTTTAGTGCGCTGTCCATCCATAAACGAGGCTTTTAAACGAAAATATCCAGAAGGCAAAATATTTTCCGATTTTGTTTGGGAAACTTTAATATTATAAGGAAAATATTATCTCTGTGAGAAAAATATGAGTATACAGTTCCGTTTCGCTGCTCCTTTAATTAAGTTATAAAAAGGTCATGCACATTTCGTACCTTGACGGAGCGCAAATTCGTAGCTCTTCTTAAGTTTGGCCGTGTGTCCTGGCTCGAAGAGAGCTCCCTCAGGGAAGATCACGAGGCTCGACTGCAAAACGAACCAGTTGTCACTTTTTGCAATGATCCCAGACGGCCGCGCACGAAGTGCAAAACGAATTATAGGAACGTCCTGTGTGCTCCGCTTTCATTCCGCGTCATCTACCATGTAGCACTGAAGAAAGTAAAAAAAAAAAAAGAATAGAAAAAGAGAGAGAGAGGGAGGGGGCGGCAAGAATTTGAAAAAAATCGTAACTTTCAGATTCCGCTGAGGTCCGAATTTGAACCTTTCGAAGGTGTCAAGGTCACTGAAAGTTAGGGTTCAAATATTGTGAATTTCTTTACTGGTTATAATTAAACAATCCCAAGATTTCGAATGTTTTTACTGGTCAAGCTTGCAAAATTCCAAGATTTCGAATTTTTTACTGGTCAATCTTGAAAAATTCCAAGATTTCGAATATTTTACTGGTCAAGCTTGAGAAACGTTAAGATTTCGAATTTCTTCGGTGCACAAGGTTGAAAGTTTCCAAAATTTCGAATTTATATTCTCAGTCTTCGAATATCACGGTTCCGCCGAAATGTTTACATTTAATATCACGGAAAGAAATCGAATTCCTCAGGTTCTTATCCAATGTTTCCGAATTCATCACGAAACTTTGCAAAACGTGCGACAACTTTCATTAAAAGTAGCGCATTTTTTTCATGAAGCGAAGACTCCTTTTTCTAAGTACTGTGGTACTTACTGTAATACCATTATTACTCTGGTTTTATCGTAACTCATTAAGTAAGCGTTCAGGTGGTTGAGCGGTTTGGCAAAAAGCCATTGGGCAGTCCGGTGAACGTCCTTCCTACCTCTTTGCAAATTGGCAGCAAATCGATTGAACACCACTTAAATTCAAAGGTGGCATGAAAGAACGAGACATACCAGACTACGCAAGCACATAAAGGCACCCAGGCTTCCCGAAAGTTTTAGATGCTCTAGCTGTTTACTGTACTCCGTTCACCGCTAAGGTGAAACTTCGGTGGAAGCTACGTCCTGGTTGAACTAGTCATATACCTCTCATTGGCCACGTCATCACGCTTCCTACCCCCCACCCCCCTATAGATGTTTGCAAACATCGGTTTCCGACTGGTGCCCCAATCGTACAAGCACGTGCTACACGCGCGTGAAGGTAGCTTTGGCAGGCTTGTACTTGCACGTGCTCTCTCACACGAGCAAAAACATGGCGGCGGCCAGACTTGCTTGCAATCGTCTATAGCCACACGCAGAGGTCAGGTGATAAGAGGGATGCGGCTGATTGGTCCGGTGGGCACGTAGCTCCCACTGCGGTCTCAGCTTAGGGGTGAACGGAGTAGAGCGGTGGGACGGCCCGCAGGATGAATACTGGACACGGCGACACGGGCACGGCGCCCAACCGTGCACCCGACACAGCTCAGGTTCGAGAAGAACGCAAACAGTTCAAACCCGGAGGTCCTTCGAAAATACATCCGATCAGTCTGGGGCTTAAGTTGGACACTCGGCGATAAAGTCGGCGAGATTTCTGACCAAGACGTTTGGCCAGCGCCAAGACGCGGCGCGGCCTTGACCAATCGCGGCGCTCAGAAACCTCGCCGACTTTCTCGCAAAATACCCAACTTGGAGCCCCAGGTCACTACCGGTCGTGCGTCAGGCTCACCACATCGACGGTTTTTTTCTCTTTATTTTCGGTTAATAAAGACAGTGGCAACTGTAAACTGCAGATGGTTACTAATGATAATAAAGCAAGCGCCGATCCAGCGTTTATGTCGAGCGTCGGCGTCGCTCTGTGAGCCCGCCTTTTCCCCGCCCGCCGTTTACACAATCTAATTGGATGAATTACGTTAAGAAACAACTGAGGTGAGGAAACACTTGCAGTGTAGCGCCTCGGTCGAATTTTAAGCCTGCATATCGGGACCACTTGGCCCACATGTTACCTCGGGGAACCCTATGGGGTCATATGCGGGAGAGGCTCTAAGCAAAAGAGCCGAAGAAAAAGTCTTATAGATGAGACACGAGGCCTGGTCGGCGAGGCGAGTTGTTGCTGGAGTTACCTTAGTGATGCATTCATGCAATTTTCTTTCCACACATCATATGTAAGGAGCCCCCACGGGCATTTAAAGGGATGGTGAACCGAAATTTGGATTTAAAAAAAACTATGCAGGAGATTTAAGCGGGACGCTACAATCCCTACAACACTACTAGTAAGGCAATATGTCAAATGGACGGCCGTATTTTTGGAAAAAGAAGTCGAGAATGAACCAGGCCGACGAGCCGCGTGACCGTCAAGATACCGAGTTTCTTCCTCTTTTCACTTCGCTCCCTCAAGGCCGCGAGGCGGAGAAGACGCGAGGTCTTTCCCTCTCCTTCTCGGAGAAACATGACGTCAACATTCCTGCCAAATGTGCCTCTTTTTTTGAAAAATACGGTCATCCGTTCGAGATATCGCTGTTCGAGATATCGCAGCCTCTCTTTAAAGGAGCTGTGCAACGATTATCAGTTGGAATGTTTTTCACTATACGCGAGCTTACTGGCACACCTGGGACTCAAGGATACTCACACGCAATGCCACTGGCCAAGAAACTCCTTTGTTGCGGTGTAATTTCAAGGGCAAGAGCGATCATTTTCATTCAATCTCTCCTTTGCAAAATTTTATGACGTAACGTGGGGATCGCAGTACACCCAAGTGACGATATTTGAATGCGGTTCATAGATTGGACCCGAGCCCTGCGTGGGCACTCGATTTGGGCTCGTGATAATTACTGGCTCGAGAAGCATTCGGGTAGTCGCCCGCGTCCAATCGCTGCAACGACGACAATAGCCGAGCCATAACAATGTCTGGAACTCTGCGCGTGTCCTGTGCTTTGCCAACCCCAGCGCGTGGCTATGATCAACATTGGCGGCATATAATCGGCTCCAGATTGCGTGGCCGCTTGTTGTGCCTGCGAGTTGAGGGGGTGAACGCTGCTCGTTTTTCTTTAATTTTTTTCTGGGACTTCTATTGCGTGAAGTGAAAAACGAACGCGTGTTTCATAGATCATTAACGTCAGGGATCTGTTTTAAGCGGTGTTTGCGCAAAGTACAAAAATTGTTGCATCGCTCCTTTAAGGGTCAAATAAATTAAATTAAATCTTTTGTTACTTAGATATGCTTTTTCTCCAAACCTTCGTGGGTAATGTCGATTGGAACTTCATCCCATTTATGTTCAAAAAATACCCCCAAGTCCATAAATTTTTTTTTAACTTCACAGGTTCGCAAGTTGGGAAATCGGCAAATGCTTCACAGACTGACACATTTGAAAATTTCCAAATCGGCCAGTTTCTTAACGCAACAATCACCGAATGATCTCATGTAACAGCTTGGAAAGTTTACGACGTTTCGAACATTTCGAACCCCTCGATCATATCTCCGAACTTTAGGTTAAGAAAAAAAAAAAAAACATTTGCGGCAGCTTTACTAGCAAACCTGCTAGATTAAAAGAAAAAAAACAAAAAAACATTAGGGCTGAGTTTTTGTGCGTCACTAAAGAAGGCCACCGTATATCGCAGATTGGTCACGAGTGCTGCATCGGCGGTTGACCGGAACTAAATTCGTGTTCTAACAGTTTCTAACCGAACGCTGAGGCAGAATTCGTGTCCAATTTGTTCCCTACGGCAGCCCATTTTAGCGACGCAGGAGAATTCAGCGCTAAGGCCATCTTTATCTGCCCGAAACACGTTCTTTTTTTCAACGAAGTAAACTTATTCGTTGATACTTGCGACCCATACTTCCACCACTGCCGCATCTCTGTAGTAAATCGCAGCAAGCTACGTTGAGAAACCGATTTTTCCGGTCCGTTCAAAGTGGGTTCGATCCCTTCGCGGCCCTCGCGGCAGGTGGATATGGGTGCGTGTACCAAATTATTACGCGAGTGAAAAACACGTCCCGCGCCAGGCACGCGGCGGCCTCACCGGCATGTTCTTGTTGGTGAGGTAGGCCAGGGAGCGCCGCATCTTGCGCACGTTGAACTGGTGCCGGTTCACGTAGATGCAGCCGTGCTGAGCGTCCGAGAGTCAGTGTCAGTGGTGCGTTCGAGAAGGACGCGCGCGGATGCGTAAAGCTCCTTGATAATTCGTGGAAATGGAGCGTGGTGGTTGAGTTACGGTGTTAGAGGAAACTGGGGAATTGTAGGAGACCGTCTAATGGCGAATTCGGGTGGTCAATCGTCGGCAACTTATTTTGCCGGAAAACCGGCAATCGTGTTCGCGTGGTCAGTTTCCGGTCGGCGCGCACCGTTCGAATGGTGGTTCTCCGGCAAGCACCGGCAACTTTCCGGCGCTTTTTCCGCCCGGGCTCCGAACGGCCGGGCGAGTAGGCGCCAGACTGTATCCGGTGTCATCACTTTCGAAATGGGAGAGAAGGTCAGTGAGAAAAAAAAAATGAAGGAAAGAACGAAACTGATCTGAAGTCACTTTAGCAGCCGCTACGAGAGTCAATCCAAGTCGTTGGGACATGGGTGACGGCGGCGACAGGCTCTCGTTAGCGGTGTCGCGCGGGCAAGAGGCGAAGGAAACTGCCACCGTCTGGCGTTTCGTGTTCGGGTGGTGAGGGTCATGTGGTGTGCCGCTGGCGCGTTTATGGTTGCCGGTTCCGCCGGCTCGTTCTCGCAGGCGATTGACCACCCGAATTCGCCATAAGCGGCCCGCTAAGCAGCCGCATAGCGCTCCGTAATCCGCCACAAGACCTTGAACTTTGCAGACAAGGCTGGCGGTGCGCAAGCACAGCTGCGGCGTTATCTTCACGGATACCGCAGCGGAGGAGAAAAACGGTCTACTACAATTCTACACGAGGGACCAAAACCGGACGACATGTTTATCGTCCGGTTTTCGTCCTTTACGTTGTTCTTTTCTAACACTGCTCCTTGACAAGTTTGCGTTGGTCTTACAAGTGGCGTCAAATGCGCCGATGTACGACGACCGTGCCTCGTGCGTCCTTGAAAACAAATTACGGAGCAGCACTGAAATGAATGCGAATGGCGGTGGAGGATACCCTCGTGGCACGTGTCTTCCGCGTTTCCAAAACAACGGTTGCCGGTACTTGTAATCGAGTGCACTAGAATACGAGGTTGCGCGTGTAGACAACAATCGCAGCGCTGCAGTCGTCACGGTATTAGAAGGTCGTTGCAGTTGCCAAGTTTGGCGAATATTCCACCAGGCGTTTGCAACCGTTCGCAACGGGTGGTTCCCGTTTCGACCAATTCCCAATACAACCTTCCCGTTTGTACCTTCCCGTTTCGACCCCGCTCAAAACGTCCTTCTCGTTTCATCCTTTCCCATTTTGCCCTATCCCGAAACAACCTTCCCGCTTCGGCCATCGTTCGTTTTCAGTTGGGTCGGTTAGTTTGTATTGTTCGATAACAGTTGATAAGGTTCAAGTGTCTAGTGTATGTTCTCCTTGCTCACCTCACTTCTTTCTCTCGCTAAACAACCTCGGAGACGTGGCACCGTAAGATAAACCCTGTGTCAGGGAGGGCTCATCCGAACATTTACAGCTTCATTGACCTGATAAAATGGGATGAGGCCTTGACAAGGATATCTCTGCAGCAGCTTGCAAATGGTGGTGCCGTGCGAGCCAGGTGACAGGCGCGAACTATCACAATTGGAGTGTCGCCTTTCTAATTGCGCGATTTTCCTGCTCGACTTGCTCAACTAAAGCAATGGCATTTTGTAGTTAATAATTTTTTCCTGTGTACGCGACGGTTCTGTGTTTGAACTCGTAAGAAAATGAAGTCGCATTCATATGCTCGACAACCTGTCTGATTTCTCACTCTTCAAAATATCCCTTTCAATATAAGTAAGTTTTAGAATAACGTATACGCAAGCGCTTTGGGTTACCTAAAAATAGCGTCCCGATGTAAGTCTTTAGGCAACGCTGATTTTTGCTTACTCAAAGTGCTTTCCTGCGTTATTCTAAGACTTCATTAGGGAGTTTTCGTAGACCGCGTTTCTCCCTCCGCTAAGCCCTCCGCAACGAAGCAGCCGCTACTGCGCCAGCGCGCCGATGGCCTTGGCTGTAGTGTTCCGGGTCTCGTAGCGGGTTGCGGAGAGCGTCGCGCGACGGCGAAAACGGTCTACGAAAACTCCCTATTATTAGGGAGTTTTAGTAGACCGTGTTTCCTTCTCCGCTAGCCCTCCGCTACGGAGAAACCGCCACTGCGCCTATGGCCTTGGCTGTACACTTCCGGGTCTCGTAGCGGGTTGCGGAGAGCGTCGCGCGACGGCGAAAACAGTCTACAAAAACTCCCTACTGTTAGGGAGTTTTAGTAGACCGTGTTTCCCGCTCCGCTAGCCTTCTGCTACGGAGAAACCGCCACTGCGCCAGCGCGCCGATGGCCTTGGCTGTAGAGTTCTGGGCCTCGTAGCGGGTCGCGGAGAGCGTCGCGCGACGGCGAAAACAGTCTACAAAAACTCCCTATTATTAGGGAGTTTTAGTAGACCGTGTTTCCCGCTCCGCTAGCCTTCCGCTACGGAGAAACCGCCACTGCGCCAGCGCGCCGATGGCCTTGGCTGTAGAGTTCTGGGCCTCGTAGCGGGTCGCGGAGAGCGTCGCGCGACGGCGAAAACGGTCTACGAAAACTCCCTATTATTAGGGAGTTTTAGTAGACCGTGTTTCCCGCTCCGCTAGCCCTCCGCTACGGAGAAACCGCCACTGCGCCTGTGCGCCGATGGCCTTGGCTGTAGAGTTCCGGGTCTCGTAGCGGGTTGCGGAGAGCGTCGCACGACGGCGCAAACGGTCTACGAAAACTCCCTAATATCAGGGAGTTTTAGTAGACCGTGTTTCTCGCTCCGCTAGCCCTCCGCTACGGAGAAACCGCCACTGCGCCTGTGCGCCGATGGCCTTGGCTGTAGAGTTCCGGGTCTCGTAGCGGGTTGCGGAGGGCGTCGCGCGACGGCGTAAACGGTCTACGAAAACTCCCTATTATTAGGGAGTTTTAGTAGACCGTGTTTCCTTCTCCGCTAGCCCTCCGCTACAGAGAAACCGCCACTGCGCCTACGGCCTCGGCTGTGGACTTCCGGGTCTCGTAGCGGGTTGCGGAGAGCGTCGCGCGACGGCGAAAACAGTCTACGAAAACTCCCTATTATTAGGGAGTTTTAGTAGACCGTGCTTCCCGCTCCGCTAGCCTTCCGCTACGGAGAAACCGCCACTGCGCCAGCGCGCCGACCTTGGCTGTAGAGTTTTGGGCCTCGTAGCGGGTCGCGGAGAGCGTCGCGCGACGGCGAAAACGGTCTGCGAAAACTCCCTATTATTAGGGAGTTTTAATAGACCGTGTTTCCCGCTCCGCTAGCCCTCCGCTACGGAGAAACCGCCACTGCGCCTGTGCGCCGATGGCCTTGGCTGTAGAGTTCCGGGTCTCGTAGCGGGTTGCGGAGAGCGTCGCGCGACGGCGAAAACCGTCTACGAAAACTCTCTATTATTAGGGAGTTTTAGTAGACCGTGTTTCCCGCTCCGCTAGCCCTCCGCTACGGAGAAACCGCCACTGCGCCTATGGCCTTGGCTGTAGACTTCCGGGTCTCGTAGCGGGTTGCGGAGAGCGTCGCGCGACGGCGAAAACAGTCTACGAAAACTCCCTATTATTAGGGAGTTTTAGTAGACCGTGTTTCCCGCTCCGCTAGCCCTCCCCTACGGAGGAGCCGCCACTGCGCAACCGACTACCAACTGGCCTGCGCGCCGATGACCTCGACTGTAGAGTTCCGGGTCCCGTAGCGGGTCTCGTAGCGTAGCAACCGACTACCGACTGGGCCTGCGCGCCGATGACCTCTCCGGCCGCTCTTCGCCTTCACGCTCCGCTAGCCCTCTGCTACGGAGAAACCGCCACTGCGCCTGTGCGCCGATGGCCTTGACTGTAGAGTTCCGGGTCTCGTAGCGGGTTGCGGAGAGCGTCGCGTGACAGCGAAAACGGTCTACGAAAACTCTCTATTATTAGGAAGTTTTAGTAGACCGTGCTTCCCGCTCCGCTAGCCGCCACTGCGCCTGTGCGCCGATGGCCTTGACTGTAGAGTTCCGGGTCTCGTAGCGGGTTGCGGACAGGGTTGTAAAGTACTTAGGTACAAGTAACTGGATATCGGTATCTAAGTACTTCCGTAGTATTCGAGGTACAAACCTAGGTACTTCCATTTCTCGGTATCTGTATCTGTATCTTAGGTACATTTTCCGGTAGCTTGCAACTAAGTGAAGTTCCTTTTTACAGGTACTTTTCTATCCAATTGGACAAAACTTTAGAAACTATGAAGTATTAACACACTACCATGTGCCGTGATTAACGTTGAGTTGGATACGTCCTGGGAGGCACTGACCCGATCGAACGATGTTTTAGCGAACGAAGCCCCGCCCATGATGTTTCATTGAACAACACTGCGGTGTTTATTTGAGCGAACGCTGGATTGGCAGTGCTGTTCTAGCGATACCAATTTATCAAATCGCTTCGGAATTCCGTTTGGAAAAATAGCGACCTGCTTCCTTCATCTCAAACCGAAATTGACTTCATTGCGTGTTTGAAGCTCCTCTGACAGATATACAAGGGGGGAGCTAACTTGAGAGATGTGCGCAGTTTCCGTTAAGGGGGAAAGTGACGCATTCTCTTCCCACTTCCGAAACTGCGATCGAAGATGTCAGATAAACACTTCGAGGAGGTCCTGATTCTAAAATCATGTAGAGCATTTAAGTAAAAAAAGATAACTTGTCCTGGAATGCTCATATGAATGCGGTTTTCCTTATTTCTCGCATTGACACCCATAAAGCACATTTATCGAACTCGTTTTTTGTGTGTAACCTTACGCTAAAAGCTTTACTTGCAATATACTATGACAAATTTGGGGAAAATAAATAAAGTATCTTTGAAGTAACTGTACCTGTACCTAGGTACATTTTTAAGCAAGTACCTAGGTACGCACCTAGGTAACTTTTCGTATGAGTAGCTGTAACTGTATCTTAGGTACGTTTTTGAAGTAACTTTTACAACCCTAGTTGCGGAGAGCGTCGCGCGACAGCGAAAACGGTCTACGGAAACTCCCTATTATTAGGGAGTTTTAGTAGACCGTGTTTCCCGCTCCGCTAGCCCTCCGCTACGGAGAAACCGCCACTGCGCCTGTGCGCCGATGGCCTTGACTGTAGAGTTCCGGGTCTCGTAGCGGGTTGCGGAGAGCGTCGCGCGACCGCGAAAACGGTCTACGAAAACTCCCTATTATTAGGGAGTTTTAGTAGACCGTGTTTCCCGCTCCGCTAGCCATCCGCTACGGAGAAATCGCCACTGCGCCTGTGCGCCGATGGCCTTGACTGTAGAGTTCCGGGTCTCGCAACGGGTTGCAGAGAGCGTCGCGCGATAGCGAAAACGGTCTACGAAAACTCCCTATTATTAGGGAGTTTTAGTAGACCGTGTTTCCCGCTCCGCTAGCCCTCCGCTACGGAGAAACCGCCACTGCGCCTGTGCGCCGATGGCCTTGACTTTAGAGTTCCGGGTCTCGCAACGGGTTGCAGAGAGCGTCGCGCGATAGCGAAAACGGTCTACAAAAACTCTCGATTATTAGGGAGTTTTAGCAGACCGTGTTTCCCGCTCCGCTAGCCCTCCGCTACGGAGAAACCGCCACTGCGCCTGCGCGCCGATGGCCTTGACTGTAGAGTTCCGGGTCTCGTAGCGGGTGGCGGAGAGCGTCGCGCGACGGCGAAGACGGTCTACGAAAACTCCCTTTTATTATGGAGTTTTAGTAGACCGTGTTTCCCGCTCCGCTAGCCCTCCGCTACGGAGATACCGTCACTGCGCCTGTGCGCCGATGGCCTTGACTGTAGAGTTCCGGGTCTTGTAGCGGGTTGCGGAGAGCGTCGCGCGACAGCGAAAACGGTCTACAAAAACTCCCTATTATTAGGGAGTTTTAGTAGACCGTGTTTCCCGCTCCGCTAGCCGCCACTGCGCCTGTGCGCCGATGGCCTTGACTGTAGCCCTCCGCTAGCCCTCCGCTACGGAGAAACCGCCACTGCGACTGTGCGCCGATGGCCTTGACTGTAGAGTTCCGGGTCTCGTAGCGGGTGGCGGAGAGCGTCGCGCGACGGCGAAGACGGTCTACGAAAACTCCCTTTTATTATGGAGTTTTAGTAGACCGTGTTTCCCGCTTCGCTAGCCCTCCGCTACGGAGAAACCGCCACTGCGCCTACGCGCCGATGGCCTTGGCTGTAGAGTTCCGGGTCTCGTAGCGGGTTGCGGAGAGCTACGCGCGACGGCGAACACTGTCTACGAAAACTCCCTATTATTAGGGAGTTTTAGTAGACCGTGTTTCCCGCTCCGCTAGCCCTCCGCTACGGAGAAACCGCCACTGCGCCTGTGCGCCGATGGCCTTGACTGTAGAGTTCCGGGTCTCGTAGCGGGTGGCGGAGAGCGTCGCGCGACGGCGAAAACGGTCTACGAAAACTCCCTATTATTAGGGAGTTTTAGTAGACCGTGTTTCCCGCTCCGCTAGCCCTCCACTGCGGAGAAACCGCCACTGCGCCTGCGCGCCGATGGCCTTGACTGTAAAGTTCCGGGTCTCGTAGCGGGTTGCGGAGAGTGTCGCGCGACAGCGAGAACGGTCTATGAAAACTTCCTACTGTTAGGGAGTTTTAGTAGACCGTGTTTCCCGCTCCCCTAGCCCTCCGCTACGGAGAAACCGCCACTGCGCCTGTGCGCCGATGGCCTTGACTGAAGAGTTCCGGGTCTCGTAGCGGGTGGCGGAGAGCGTCGCGCGACAGCGAGAAGGGTCTACGAAAACTCCCTATTATTAGGAAGTTCTAGTAGACCGTGTTTCCCGCTCCGCTAGCCCTCCGCTACGGAGAAACCGCCATTGCACCTGCGCGCCGATGGCCTTGACTGTAGAGTTTCGGGTCTCGTAACGGGTTGCGGAGAGCGTCGTGCGACGGCGAAAACGGTCTACGAAAACTTTCTATTATTAGGGAGTTTTAGTAGACCGTGTTTCCCGCTCCGCTAGCCCTCCGCTACAGAGAGACCGCTACTGCGCCCGTGCGCCGATGGCCTTGACTGTAGAGTTCCGTGAAACTCCCTATTATTAGGGAGTTTTAGTAGACCGTGTTTCCCGCTCCGCTAGCCCTCCGCTACGGAGAAACCGCCACTGCGCCTGCACGTCGATGGCCTTGGCTGTAGAGTTCCGGGTAGCGGAGGGGCTTAGCGGAGCGGGAAACACGGCATACTAAAACTCGCTATTGTACAGAGCACGACACTGTTAGCGCAAACAAGCGATTGTTAGTTTCAGCTATTTGACAAGAAAAAAACCAAAAACTGCCATCAACATTATTAGTGTGTCTGAAAGTGCTTATCTGGGCCACTAACCTAAGCGGTACAATTTGGTACCTTCTAATACCATTTCGTAAATTCGAAAAATTGCCAACATCGTGCTCGTGGTAATATTGTCGCGCAGTGTACACAGTCCATTTCGTAGTTACACATTTTGGGGACCATCGTGAAAGAAACATTTTAAGTGGTTCAAGTAGAAATATATTTTGTTGAAGCTTGTCTGAAAGTGTTGCATATTTTAGGAATACGTTGACAAGCAAAAATATTTCACGACATAACTGAACAGCTCGCCTGCACCTCTGCATTAATTGCATTAACATGATTTCGGGACATATTCTTAAGCAGAAAAACTGCGCAAACCAGTGTTCGAACACTGGTTTGCGCAGTTTTTCGCAACACGATGGACACTTTTTGCGAAGAGGTTGAGATGTGCGGGGCTTTATACCAAAGGGTTCAAACGGGACGAGTTCAAACTTAAAGGATGTTTCGGCTACGGGTTCAATCAAACATGAAGTTTGTTTCAGGAACGGGTTGAAACAGCAAAGGTTCAAACGGGAAGGTCGTTTCGGGAATGGGTCAAAACGGGACGGGTTCAAACGGAAATGGGTTGTTTCGGGCTACACCCTTCGCAACGCACCTATCGCGGCGCACTAGCCATGCTCCGGCGTCCACACCAGTCGCAATCTACACTACGTGCCTCACTATCCCGTATTCCAGTACACTGCACTTGTAATTCCCGATGTCCCAGCAACATTACTACGTGGTTCAGCCCCAGGATCCAGTTACTTTAAGTCCCACTAGAGCGACAAACAGATCCAACCGACAAGCAAGCGGGCGATGGTACCTTTAGCGAGCTTGCAGTCTACCTGTGTTCGAACCGCAAACAAGAATGACAGCAGGCCTGCCAGGGGTTCCTTCAAGCTGCACGTGCTCGACGCTTGCCGGTGTCCGTTGTTTATGCCCGTCACTCTAGTGGGACTCGGCCAAAGCGATACCACCTTGAATACGAGGCCTGCGTATCACGTCGTCATTCCTGGATCCCCGACAAGTGGCAAGCACACTAGACGCTTGGCGAGAGGTGCCGCCAAGCGGCGAGCACCCACGTCCGTCTTGGCGTTGCCACCTGCTAGCGTATGCTCTGGCGTTGAGAGTAGCAAACGCGGCGTAGCGCAGAACACGTAGAAACCGATTGGTCGCTCATGCAGAGTTCCTGCTCGCCGGCCAATCAAAGGCCCACGTTCTGGGTTACGTCTGCGTTCACCGCGCTCAACGTCTGAGTACAACAGAGCCTTTACGCTCGTTGCGAGACGCTGCAAGAGGCGCCGGCGACGATGCTGACGCAAGAAAGGCGCTTTAGAGCGGGAGACCCGGACGTCCACCTGGTGAAAGTAGAAGCCGTACAGGGGCACCGACTGCAGGCTCTGCTTGATGATGTAGCGCAGCTGGCCCGGGGAGCCCGTCCTCTCGGCGAAGATGTTCACCGCCACCCAGTCGACTGCGTGTTCAGAGCGAGCCAATCATTCCACGGCCATTGCTACAGTGACCTATACCTTGTTTCATCTTATGTCCGAGCGTGGCAGATGCTCGGACATAAGATGTCCGAGCGTGGTTACAGGGGTCCGAGCGAGCGTACCCCTGTAACCTCTTCCGCTGCATCTGTTCTCAGAGCCGAAATAGAAGTCACGTGCAGCTCCTCGAGTGGCCGCTGCGGGAGAAATGGTGGCGTTGTGTTCGTCATTAGCTCGGTGCTCGGAGACAGATTGGGGCCACTTTTTCAAAGCTGTCTCTATGGGAGTTTCCCAACTGAGTGTTTTAGTAACGTTGGACGAGGATCACGCGGAGGCTCAGGTTATGGTGCCTGGAACGCGTCTCCGACTGGTGTGTTTCCAGCGCCCAAAAAACTGAGGCCAGATTCACAAAACGATCTTACGCCAAAAATGTGCGTAAGACAAAACTTAAGAACAAATCCGTATTCACGGAACGAAATTTTCGTAAGTTTTGCGCAGGTTACGACGAAATCCTACGACAGCTCCGAAGCTGTCTTACGCGCACTTCTTACGATCAAATCAGCATGGCCGACAGCGTCTCTCAGTCGGTCGCGACAATCAACGGACGTTTATTTTTCGAAGAGCGCTTCTCACGCGTCCCGACTTCAAGCAGCAAGAAACAAGTAAAAAGTACTTGAAACAGACCACGACGAACGAACAAGAACGCTGGATCCACAGACACCCGGGAAAAACTCCAAGGGCCACGATTCCACGGACTCCGACCGATCGGCAGATAGGCCTAGCAGGCACCCCGACTCGGCGCAGCGATGATTTGACGGTCTTTGGCGAAGACCGTCTGCCCACGACCGGCTGGCGTGCTGAACGGAATATGCCCGCGCGACCCTCGTGAACCCTTCCCGTGTTATAGTTTGATCGCTGACCTCAATTCTAGATTAAGAGGTCGATCTCTTCCTCTTGTCATATCCTTGTTTTCCGAGGCAACGGTGACGAACGCGGTCGTCGAAAAGGGGCTCTCGTCGATTCTATCTCTGTTTTGTGTGATATCAAGCTCAAATAAACGCCGTATGGATTACCTTCGCAACATGGTATGTACACTTTGTTATTAGTATTCCATTTTATTCTGACACGACTGCACCTCACTGTCGATCGCTGTAACAGTTCGTGGGTCGCAATGCCAGTCCAACCTTTCTTTGCCGGGTGTCACGTCAGCATCGAGTAGGAATTGTAAAGGATCGGTCCCGAAGCGCTTATCAATTCGCGGTCCAAAAGCGCAAATCCAACACTTCGATCAAACGCGCGCGTCCGCTCCGTAGTGTGAACAGGCATTTACGTGGCTCTTGCTGACACTGTGCAGTTCAAACGTATCTTTTTTAGCATCGGCTCGCTCCTGCATCTCCGAGGCCGCAAAAAACGCCGCGGCAATTTGTTCCCACCTACGTCGCTTTGCAAACGACTGCGGGCCGTCTTTTACCAACGATGACAGTTGTGTTGACTTGGTAGCGATCGAGTTCGTAGCAGTCAATGGGGGTGGTTACGCATCCCGGTTTCGGCATTCGGGCGAGTTTAAATCGTGTTAGCGTCGACATATCACTGCACGGATACGAACCCCAGACAAGACGTGGCAGAAAGGCCGCCTGTGTTTGTTATGAAAAATCCACGTGCTCCGAACGGCCCCGAACGGCTTCGAACAAATGCCGAGCTCTCCGATTGGTTGTTCGTGCTGCTGAAGACGCCGTCGCCATAGCAACAGCACCGGTAAGTTTTAGTTTTTCCGTGCGACAACGTCGCTTTCCTTCTCTCACTTAAGAACACGTTCGTGAATACCGATTTCTCCTCTTCTTACGATGTTCTTAACTTACGAACTTGTTAGCTAAGTTGTCGTAAACTAAGAAGCTCTTCGTGAATCTGGCCTCTGGTCCCTCGAGTTGCGCCTCATGACGTCATAAAAGTGCCATGCTGTCGCCGGTCGCGACCCTGGCGGTGTCTCAGCAGCGATGGTGGATCTGGCAGACGCCTGTTCTGCTGCAGGTCGCTCTCTGGTGTGACTGTCCACGGAAGCTTCGGTAACCAGAAGTTGGGACCATAGAGTTATTACAATAAACTAAAGAGGTTCAGCTGGCGCTGGTGTCTATACGGGACTTCCGGTTGCAAATTGAAGCAGACAGCGAGCAGTCTACTTTTTTCAGTCTTCCTGTGTATTCCTACGGTAAAACGAACGTAATATTTTTCCCTTCACCAGAGAAAAATAGAAATCAGCGTAGTTCCTTGACACGTAACGGGTACTACGTAGCTTTTTGTCACATTATAAGAGTGTATTTTATTTAGTTAATGTTCTTTTTTATATACTAAGCGATGTTTAAGTTAGCAAAAATTGAGGCCCAGGTCTATGTTGTACAGCATGATATGTCAAAACAAGCTGTCAATTGAAGCAAAAAGAACAATTTAAAAGTGATTAGGGTTAACAACAACACTCGGTTACTGCTTTATTTTGATTATTCATACACAGTTTTTTTTACTAATCCAGTACGTGCGTTCCATAACTTCGTTCTTCCCGTCTGTTTTGATCGCTTGATTTCGCATATATTGTCACGAATGACAAGTGATGAGGCGGCTAATTGCTGAAGAAACTAAACGTTTAAAGGGGCGATGCAACGAGTTTTGTATTTTGCGGAAATACCGCTTAGAGCGGATCCCTGACGTTAATGACCTGGGAAATACTTATTTGTTTTTCAACACACGCAATCGAAGTCGCAGAAAAAAAATAAAGAAAAACAAGCAGAGTTCACCCCTCATCTCGCAGCCAGAACAAGCGGCCACGTGATCTGGAGCCGATTATATGCCGCCAATGTTGATCATAGCCATGCGCTGGGGTTGGCAAGGCACAGGACACGCGCTGCGTTCCAGACATTGTTATGCTTCGGCTGTTGTAGTCATTGCAGCGATTGGACACAGGGCACTATCCGAATGCTTCTCGAGCTATAGATTATCACGAGCCCAAATCAAGTGCCGACGCAATGCTCGGGTCCAATCTATGAGCCGCATTCAAATATCGTCACTTGGGTGTACTGCTACCGCCGAGCTACGTCATCAGGTTCTGCGAAGGAGAGATTGAATGAAAACGCTCGGTTTTGTCCTCGAAATTACACCGCAACAAAGGAGTTTCTTGGTTAGTGGCGTTGCGTGCGAGTATCCTTGAGTCCCATTAGTGCCAGTAAGCTCGTGTAAAGTGAAAAACATTCCAATTGAATATCATTGCACCGCCCCTTTAATGGGGCGAACAAGTGCCCAAAAATAAAAAAGGAAACAGAAGATAACAGCAGAGCGTCGCAGGCGTCGAAATCAGCGTAAGAGCAGAGTCGAACGCTGGGGCGAGACTGCTTCCGGCTCGCCACGTGGAGCACCTTTTGTACCCTCGTGTTTCTCTGGAATATTCGGCCTAGACCGTTCGGCTCGTAGAACATTCGTAACGGGATCGGACGGGAAGGCTCTCAAACTTACGAGAACGCCCAGTAGAAAGAATAAATAAGATTCCACTCCCTGGAATTGAACTCGGATCCTTCGCGCGACAGCCAAGCACGCTAACCACGCTAACCACTCGGCCATGCTGCTTTTTTTTTTTTTCTTTATTCACTCAGCTATGCTGCATGCACGCGCTCGCTCGGCAACGCGCGTGGCAATATTAGCATCCTTTTGATGTTTTGTCAAGCTCAGAGCCATATCTGTAGAGAGTTTGGTCAATGGGAGGCGCCGGCAGTGCCAGGGCCTTCTACCAGACTCGGAAAGAGGGCTTGGCATGCTCTCTTGGCCAACCAGAAACCGAAAAAAATCCCCTAGCTGTGGTAGCGAGAAACAGTTCTGATCAAAGGTCTATGTTCGTATATGGTTTTAATAAGCGCGTAAGAGTGAAGTGTAGTAACTCTTTGTGGTTGAAAATAGGGTGCACGTGTTTTTTTTGTTTTTTTTATTATGATCATGCAGAAAGGTGTAAGAAACCAATGCGCCGCTTAACCCTGTTTTGCTCGGACAGAGTGTGACCGCTCGGACCGCAGATTCCCGGCCCTCGGCGCTTGGCGTAAGGATTATGTCGATCCTTCCGCTAGTCGCACTCTTCCACCATCATTTTGGATGAGCGTGATTGAAACATCACGTGTACCATATTTTCAGTCATCGAGAGTTACTCTAATACAGTTATAAGGTTTGTTTCTCGCGACCACCACCAGGGTATTATTTCCGGCTTCTGGTTGGTCCCATTCGAATTTCTGAAGACGCCCTGGAACACGCCCAGCCCGCTTTCGGCCAATGGCGCCTCCTCACTTGTCTCCTATACTTCCCAACGAATGGCCAAACTCTCTACATATACGGCTCTGGTCAAGCTAATTAACTCTATCTGCTTCATAGCATTGACTATATGCGTAAATACGAGCCCTATAATAGCAGTCTTTAAAGTCAACACATGTGAATTGGGCTATTTTAGCGCAGTGTTCAACGTTATGAATTCTAAAGGAAAACGCTCTGACACATATTTTCTTACATCCGATTACAAAAACGTTCCAAGCGTTTTATTCTCTCACGGCACTAAGCAATATTTGCTTTTATAATAGAGCGCGAAGAGAAAACGCATCTGCGTTTTCCCATAGGAATGCATTACCGAAAGTCAAATTTAGACTGGTCACTGTCTGCTTCAAAATGCGAGAGCACACTAGCACCAGATACGTGCATAGAGAGAGTTTGATCAATGAGACGCGCGCGCAGAGCCAGGGCGTGCACCAGACGCAGAAAGATGGCTTGCCATGCTCTCTTGGCCAACCAGAAGCTGAAAATAATCCCCTAGCGGTGGTAGCGAGAAACAGTTTTAATCATAGGTATATGGTTTTGATAAGCGCGTAAGGGTTAAATGTAGTGACCCTTCATGGTCTAAAATAGGGTCACATGATGTTTCGATCATGATCTTGCAGAAAGATGTAAGAAACGAATGTGCCGCTCGAAC